TTGTTTTAGTCCTGTTTTAGTCCTGTTTTAGTCCTGGTTTAGTCCTGGTCCAGTCCATATGTGGCGCAAAAGTCCGGCGTCACAGCTTAAGTCACGGAAACGGGAAAATCAAAAACTGAAAAAACAAATCGTTATCCGTTTTTTTCATTTCGGTTTTGAAGACAGATAATAAAGAAAATAGGTTTTTTTTTTTCATTTTCTTATTTTTGGTTTTATTTTGAAAAACGAATGAACGAACGCCACACGGATTTAAAACGCTCTTGAGCACGGACAGAACCGGGTCTTTTCACAACATAATCCTTTTTAAGACACCTTTTTTTCCTCTCAAACATCGACTTCTCATCTCAAAATAAAACCAAAAATAAGAAAATGAAAAAAAAACAACTATTTTCTTTATTATGTGTCTTCAAAACCGAAATGAAAAAAACGGATAACGATTTGTTTTTTCAGTTTTTGATTTTCCCGTTTCCGTGACTTAAGCTGTGATGCCGGACTTTTGCGCCAAACATGGATATGGACTGGACCAGGACTAAACTAAAACAGGACTAACCAGGACTAAACCAGGACTAAACCAGGACTAAAACAGGACTAAACAGGACTAAACCAGGACTAAACCAGGACTAAAACAGGAAAACCAGGACTAAAGGACTAAAACAGGACTAAAACAAGACTAAAACAGGACTAAAACAGGATTGAACCAGGACTAAACCAGAACTAAACCAGGACTAAAACAGGACTAAAACAGGACTAAACACAGGACTAAAACACAGACTAAAACAGGACTAAAAACAGGACTAAAAACAGGACTAAACCAGGACTAAAACAAGACTAAAACAGGACTAAAACAAGGAATTGAACCAGGACTAAAACAGAACTAAACCAGGACTAAACAGGACTAAACAGGACTAAAACCAGGACTAAACAGGACTAAACCAGGACTAAAACCAGGACTAAAACAGGACTAAAACAGGACTAAAACAGGACTAAAAACAGGACTAAAACAGGACTAAACCAGGACTAAAACAGGACTAAACCAGGACTAAAACAGGACTAAAACAGGACTAAACCAGGACTAAAACAGGACTAAAACAGGACTAAACAGGACTAAAACAGGACTAAAACAGGACTAAACCAGGACTAAAACAGGATTGAACCAGGACTAAAACAGGACTAAACCAGGACTAAAACAGGACTAAACCAGGACTAAAACAGGACTAAACCAGGACTAAAACAGAACTAAAACAGGACTGAACCAGGACTAAAAGTTCAACCATTATTCCCAACACATTTTTGCTTGTTTACTCTCCCAGCGCTTCACCCGTAACACCGCCGCCGCACTCCCCTTCACTCCCCTGCTCTCGTACCGCGCGCCTGTCACCTTCCCCGTCTTCAAAGCGCACTAGATTCTCCTGATTGACACCCAAATCAACACCGGCAGCCCCTTAAACCCGCCTAAGTCACCGCGTGCGTCCTCAACTGGCCCATCTTTTTCATGTCGTCGAGTTCCGTGCCAGACTTTGATTGGGAGTTTGGCAGACCTCCGCGCTGACTCTATTTTGGGAGCCCCATAGACGCCGCGCCAACAGCCCGGGGCCCCGTGGGATTTGCGTAAAGTAAGAATGGGTGAACGCTGCACGGCGCTTATCAAGTCCGGGCAAATATTTGTACACTGTTGTGGGAAGATCGGCGAGGAGGATTCGGGCACGTGTACAGACAGTTGGCGCGGTCGGTGTGTGTGTGAGAGCGTCGTTCAGATGCGTTTGTAAAGTGGAAATTCCGCCAGTAAATGTGCGCCGCTCTGGGGGTGTTCCGCTTGTGCGTGCGCGGCGCGGGGTGTTCAGCGGTCGCTATGGCGAAGACGCGGTGATGATGCAGGACTGAACCAGGTCCGGGCCCAAGACCAGGACTCGGACCGAGACCGGGATCGGGACCGAGAAAAGGGACCTGACCGCGATTGAGACCGGGACTGAGAACCAGAACAGGACCAGGGCTGAGACCGGGACTGAGACCAGGACTGGGACTGGGACCGGGACCAGATTGGGACCAGATCAGGACTGAGACCGGGACCAGACCAGGACTGAGACCGGGACCAGACCAGGACCAGACCGTGATTGAGACCGGGAGTGAGACCAGGACTGAGACCGGGACTGAGACCAGGACTGAGACCGGGACCAGACCAGGAGTGAGACAGGGACCAAACTGTGATTGAGACCAGGACTGAGACCAGGACTGAGACTGGGACCGGGACCAGATTGGGACCAGATCAGGACTGAGACCGGGACCAGACCAGGACCAGACCGTGATTGAGACCAGGAGTGAGACCAGGACTGAGACCAGGACTGAGACCGGGACCAGACCAGACCTGAGACCGGGACAAGACCAGGACTGAGACCGGAACCAGACCGGGACAAGACCAGGACCAGACCGTGATTGAGACCGGGACTGAGACCGGGACTGAGACTAGGACGAGACCGGGACTAAGATAAGGCCGGGACCAAACCAGGACTGACTCACTCTGGACGTTGAAACAGAACGGACATTTGTTTTCAGTAGAGGGGTGCAGAAATATAGAAATATCCATAGATAGTATCGTTTAATGTGATGATACAGTATCGATATCGTGGGCTGCTTTATCGACTGACGCCGGCAACGTGAACATGACGTTTACATCGCTCTTACTGCGCACGTTTTGTGTGGGTTTCCGGCAATGAGTGGAATTACCGAAATAAAAAAATTTATAAATGTGTTTTTTGTGTGTGTGTGTGTGTGTGTGTGTGTGTTGTTGTCCCAACAACACATAAAAACAGGTTTTATAATAAAGCAACTCACATACAGAAACAGTAAAGTTAGAGATTAAAAATGAGATTAACGCGATTAAAAAACATAACGCGCTAAATATGACTGTAATTAATTAATCGCAATTAACGCGATAATTTGACACCCCTAATCAGAATACACTAGATGGTTCGTAAAAACCCTGGAAGTGCAAGTTCGGGCACCAGCCAATCAGCAAAGAGACAGACATTCTGCGTTCGCAACAGTTCCCGAGATCGAGAATTTAAAGCCGGAACAAAGAGAATGTTTGGTGAATTTCATCAAGGGGAAAGACGTTATTGCCCTTCTTCCTACGGGATTTGGGGAAAGCCTCCGTAGCGGCGCATTACATACGTCACGACCAAACAGCAGCGATCGGTTAAATAAAAAAAGTACTCGCCTACCGTTGAGCGAATGAATCCTAATGCTGCGAGGTCAGACGGTTTCCACGGTTATGAATCAGGTCACTAGGTGGCACCAGCCTGGCTACCTTTTGTTTAAAAGAGACGACAATAAATGCACCGACAGTATTTTGAACATTAAAAAATTATAACTCCAAACTATAAGGTGAGAGGAAAGAGTTCACATTTAATATTTAACCCTGAAAGTTTGATAAAGTAAAGTAAGTAAAAAAGTAAAATAAAAGTAAAAAAAAAAAAGTAAAGTAAGTAAGTAAGTAAAGTCATGGAAAATTCACTTTAGGTCATGAAAAAGTTGTGGAAAACGTTCAAATTTTTTTTGTCAGTGAAAAAGAGTGGAAACCCTGCAAAAGTCCACAGGTGGTACTAATCCCATGGTCTGTACTGTGATTGGGCTCGCCTCTCCACAGATCTGACCTGCAACTTAGCTCATTGACAAAGTTAAATAAGCTTAGAGTGTTTTATTCCAGACAAAGTAATAACATCTCCCTGGAGACAAGCAGGTGATGGACCCTCCACAAAAAAAAATAAAATAAATAAAAATCCTTAAATGCTCTTTCAAAATTCTGTAAACCTTTGGCCTTGTCTCAGTGAATTTCCCTTGAAATGGTTTTCACTTCGCAGCTGAGTCTTGTCAGGGTCAAGAAAAATTTATTTATTGGTTATTTTGAGTTATTTATGTTTCCCTGAATGAAAAAGTGCAGCCAAGTGTTTCACTGGTGTCGTATGTTCAGTGTCGGGGACGAACTGATTTTTTCTTTTTTTTTTTTTGTCAGTAATTCCACTTACTGATGGAAATTAAACCAGGTCTAAACTAGATCTAAACCAGAACTAAACCAGGTCTAAACCTAGGTCTAAACCAGGTCTAAACCATCAAAACTAAACAGGTCTAAAGATCTAAACCAAGTCTAAACCATCTAAACCTAAACTAAAACCAGGACTAAAAAAAACCTAAACCAGTCTAAACTAGATCTAAACCAGGTCTAAAATCTAAACCAGGATCTAAAACCAGGTCTAAACTAGATCTAAACCAGGAAACCAGGACTAAAACCAGGTCTAAACTAGATCTAAACCAGGACTAAACTAAACCAGGACTAAAACTCTAAACCAGATCTAAACAGAACTAAACCAGGACTAAAACCAGGTCTAAACCAGGACTAAAACCAGGACTAAAACCAGGTCTAAACTTGATCTAAACAGGTCTAAAACCAGGACTAAACCAGGACTAAGACCAGGACTAAAAGTCTAGATCTAAACTAGATCTAAACCAGGACTAACTAGGACTAAAAAACCAGGTCTAAACTTGATCTAAACCTAGACTAAACTAGACTAAACCAGGACTAAACCAGATCTAAACCAGGATCTAAACCAGATCAGGACTAAACCAGGACTAAAACCAGGTCTAAACCAGGATTTAACAGGACTAAAGCTGCGTGGACGTGTCTCTTCGTCTTCTATCAATAATATTTTTAATTTGGTTAAATCTGGACTTTTTATTTTCTTTTATCAGACAAAACATCTTATGTTACGATATCTTAGTCTGTGCTTCTCTACAGCAAATCAAATAATCCAAAGTAATCAGATTACATTACTCACTTTAAGTCATTTAATGTAATTCCGTTACAAACTACATTTTGGTGTGTGTAATCTGTCATCTGTAGGGGAAAACATTTTAAATTTAACCTTCCCGACTCTGCGTACGTTTCTACTTGTTGGAGACTTGCAGAGTTGTATTTTCTCACGCGGCGGTTGTGTTTTTTCCTGCAGGTTTCCGCGGTCTGCCCATCGAGGACCAGATCACGCTGATCCAGTACTCGTGGATGTGCCTCTCGTCCTTCTCTCTCAGCTGGAGGTCCTACAAACACACCAACGGACAGATGCTCTACTTCGCCCCCGACCTCATCTTCAACGAGTGAGTACAGCCACCACCAAACAGAGCGGTTTACAAGGCCGCGGTCGACTAAATCTGGAGCTCACAACCCACCATTTGCTTCATTATTTGTCTCCAAAACCGAATTGAAAAAACAGATAACGATTCGTTTTTTTCCAGTTTTTTTGATTTTGTGTTTAAATGAAGAATGGAAAAAACGGATGACGACCGTTTTCTGTTTACGTGACTTAAACTGTGATGCAGGACTGAACCAGGTCCGGGACAAGACCTGGAACCAGGCCGGGCCTAAGACCAGGACTTAGACTGGGACCAGAACCGGGACCGAGACAGGGACCAGACCGCGATTGAGACCGGGACTGAGAACCGGAATAGAACCAGGACTGAGACCAGGACTGAGACCGGGACTGAGACCGGGACTGAGACCGGAACTGAGACCGGACCAGACCGACCAGACTGAGACGGACTGACCAGACCAGACCAGAACGTGAATGAGACCGGGACTGAGACTGGGACTGAGACCGGGACCAGACCAGGACCAGACCGGACTGAGACCGGACAGACCGGACTGAGACCGGGACCAGACCAGGACCATACCGGTACCAGACCAGGACAAGACTGTGATTGAGACCAGGACTGAGACCAGGACTGAGACCGGACTGAGACCGGAACTGAGACCGGGACCAGACCGGGACTGAGATTGGGACCAGACCAGGACCAGAGCGTGATTGAGACCGGGACTGAGATCAGGACTGAGACTGAGACTGAGACTGAGATCGGGATTGAAACTGGGACCAGACCAAGACCAGACCGTGAATGAGACCGGGACTGAGACAGGGACCAGACCGGGACTGAGACCGGGACCAGACCAGGACCAGACCGTGATTGAGACCTGGACTGAGACCTGGACTGAGACCAGGACCAGATCAGGACCAGACCAGGACTGAGACCTGGACTGAGACCTGGACCAGATCAGGACCAGACCGGGACTGAGACCGGGACTGAGACCAGGACTGAGACTGGGACTGAGACCGGGACTGAGACCGGGACTGAGACCAGGACCAGACCAGGACCAGTCTGTGATTGAGATCGGGATTGAGATCAGGACCAGATCAGGACTGAGACCGGGACTAAGATCGGGACCAAACCAGGACTGAAAACAGTTTAGTCCTGTTTTAGTTCTGGTTTTAGTCCTGGTTTTAGTCCTTAGTCACATTATTCATTTAAACACAAAATTTTCAATTTGATTTTGGAGACAAATAATGAACTAAATAGTTTTTTCATTTTCTTATTTTTGGTTTTATATTGAAAAACAAATAAACGACTCCCACACAGATTGTCCAGCTCCCGAGTCACATACGGCTCTTTGTTTGTCTCTGATCGACCCGTTTCAGCTCATTTGGAATTACAAAACAAACATATTTTATAATTTTACCTCATTCATGGACTAAAACTGCATTACTTTTATTTTAGAGATGTTTTTAATTAATTTTTTTGTAAGACTCTTTCCAGTCTGACCAGCTTCTAGAAATACAATTATTATTATTATGCAAATTTTGTTAAGCATCAAGGCCCGGTGCTCCACAATATTTTCCAGTTATAGTTTCTGAAAAAAATAAATATCCCTCCTGTGATTTAATACCTCAGTTAACAGTACTGCAGTTTCTTTTGTAAAAAATAAATCGATTTACTCGTACATTGCCAATTATAACTCCTATTTTTCTTAATTTTAATAAAAAGTATGACTAAATTATCCAGCGTATTATTATTCTCAAGGATTTTAAATGTACAAAAAAGACCATTTTTACATTCAAATACCATTTGTCATCTTTCTTTTTAAATCTGAAACTATTCGAAGTTGGTCGCGGCGTGTGCTTGAGTATGTTCAAATTGTCCGGTTTATTATTGTTCTCAAGGATTTAAAATGAACAAAAAAAAAGACGTGAATTTACTTTCAAATATCATTCAATGTCACCTCCTGGTAAGTACTCGAGTACCTCACGGGTCCTGGTACCTCTGGTTGGGAAACACCGGACCAAAAGGCTCAATCAATCGACTAAAAAGAAAAGGGGGCGTGACAAAGCTCTCAAAAATATTACGTATTTCTTGTGTACCTGACCCAAACTGCACTCGCAAGGAATTCATGCAAAAACTACCAACTTATTTATAAGTTTTTACCGTGTTAAAACACTGTTCCTTCGTCAAAAACACGCCCGAAGACGTTTTTACAGAAGCCCTGAGAGGCAAGAGAAAAATTAAAAAGAGGCAGGTCATTTGGGCTCTATTTTCTAAGTGTTTTTTCACCAACTCAAAAAAAGAAATAAATTATTTTCTACAAAAAAAAAGTTTCTAAAAAAAAAAAAATTTTTACACATTTTTTTCTACATAAAAAAAAAAAAAAAAAAAAAAAGAAACTTTTTTTTTTTCTCGTGTTTTTTTTTTTTTTTTTTTTTTGTCACTGTTGATGTGGCTGATGAAAAGAAAAAAAAGACACTGCTCAAGTGTTTTCCCAGGATATTCTTCTAAATACCAAACTTCAGCACTGGTGAACTGGTGGAGCATTTTCTCCTGCTGGCGTTAGGCACTGGGTTAGGACATGGGAGGCTGGGGTTCAAAACTCACTTCTTTTTTTTCCTTCATCAGCCACATCAACGGTGAAAAAAAAAAAAAAAAAGAAAAAAAAATTGTAGAAAAAAAAATGTTTTTAGAAAAAAAAAAAAAAATAAAAATTTTACTTGGTGAAAAAAAAAAAAAAAAAAAAAAAAACACTTAGAAAATAGAGCCCAAATTACCTGCCTCTTTTATTTTTCCTCTCTTGCCTCTCAGGGCTTCTGTAGATTTTAGAGTCATTCATGCATGCTTGAGTAACTTTACGATTTAGCTGTAAGATTCTGTACGAGGCTCCGCCCACAAAGCTACATAACCAATGCTCCCCAAACTATATGAAGCAAATATTCAAACCAGTTTGTTAAGGATATGTAAGTGAGAACCAAGAGTTATCACTGTTTGGATTTATTGCCCAAAAAGTGCTGCATATTTCATTCCCTCCGTTACCGACATGAGTTTTTAAATTTTTTGTCAACAACTTGAAAGAATATCACAGGTTTAACTTGACCCTGTTGGAGTGTAACTCTTTCCTACATTCTGATACTTTACTTATTTCAATAGTCCCTCTAGTTTCTGAATAAGAGACAAAAGAGACAAAAAGAGACAAAAATCTGCCCCTGTTTCCCTCCGTTACCACTTGACCCATAGGCCACGATACAGTGAAAATGTCAAATGTGTCGCGTAAACGAGTTTTCAACAAAACTGTCGCTGTAACGAAATAATTTTGTAAAATATACCAAAAATTCTACATCGATACAGCAGCCCACGATATCGATACTGTATCACCACATGAAACGATACAATATAGCGATATTTTGATATTTTTACACACTCCTTAGAGATTTCTGATTAGATTACAAATTAATTGAAAAATCCTGACACCCTCACATGACTGCACTTAAACCTTTTGTCTGAATTCAGCCGAAATGAAAAGAACCTATTTGACATCTTGAACCAATTAAGGAAATATAATAGAATAAACTGTAAAACATGTGTAAAAACTAAATTAGCCCCGCAGGGACGTTCTAATTCTTCGGTAAAAGTAAAAAAAAATAAAATAAAAAATGTCATTATCACAACATTTTTTCACGCAGGATTTCTGTATGTAGCGCGCTCATTTGCATATTTTCATTTTCAGCCTCCAACTCCTTTTTGTCACCAGTATCGCGCCAAATCCATTTATATCTTTGTCGCAGCGACTCGGGTTCAGCCGGAGCTAATATTTGTATTCAAAACATCACGCGGGCGCTAATTACAAAGTGGAATCAATGTAAAAGCGTGGCGTATCACAAAAAAATCAACAGTGTCTAGTGAAGTTTTTGCATTTCTGTGTGGGCGGTTTTAAAAGTTTTCCATCTGTAGTCCAAAAAAACCAGCTACTTTCTCCATAAAGACGCCATTGTCTTCTGTTTGAGCTGCTAATTAAATGCTAATGTATGCTAATATCTATTTAGCTGGTGGACTTTTGAACTTTTTTTTTGGACTATTTTCAGCTCTCCATTAGCATACCTGTGTTATGTTGCGAAAAAGAGAAAATTACTGTGGAAAAAAAAAGAAGCTGTGATGTGTAAAAACAAGGTCGGACACGTTGTTTGGAAGGAATGACTTTACTTTGCTTAGTTTTACAGGTTTATTAATTGCGCCGGGAGGGAAATATTAAAGACAAAAGAGGGTCAGTCTGCGGCCCACTTAACCCGCGTTAATACGTCTGAACTCGAAAGGTGATGAGAGGAGCCACGTTAAGCTGTAAATGTAATTAAAGAGCCCGTAATACGCCGCTTTCTGATTTTATAATGTCGTTTTCTCATCGCAAACAGAGCGCGATTGTGTTTTATTCATTCGCACAAATCCTGCTCTGCAAATTTCTCTGGACAAAACTTATACCAGGGGCCCGGTCCAGCAGAAGTAAACATCAAGGCCAAAACTTCAAGTTAATTCATCTGATATAAAAATGTATTGAACAGATACATATGTACTCTAGTTTATGAAACTGTTGACCTTTTTTCTGTACCATTTTGGTTCTAAAGTTCCATACGTTTTAAACAGACCATGTATGAAACATGGAACAAAAATTATTTCTCAAATTTCAAAGACCTGAAAATCATGTAAATAAATGGATGTATTTCATCATATCTTGTGTTATTCCATCTTTGAACTGTTGATGAAGGTACATGATTTAAAAAAAAAAAAAAAAAAGTACTTAAAATGATAAAAATTTGCTTGGAAGGACTGACATATTTTATAGAAATAGTTTCCTTTCATTTTGAAGTAATATTAAAGTATTCAGAAGAAAAAAGTTGACAAATTATGTAAAATCCTGCACCTTCTACTTGTTTGAACAATTTTCCCTCCGTTACTTTTCCCTCCGTTACCATGAACTTTCTTAATAAAAAATCTCATGAGTCAAAAAGTAAGAG